GACTGAGTAGACGGCAAACAATTAAAAATGTATAAATGATATGTAAAAATACATGTATTTATTTGTAAATAATTAAAAAGCATATAGGGGCCCACTCACACCTTGTGTAAAAGTTCCAAAACCATATATACACAAGGGCCAATGGACTTGACCTGATGCGTTTCAGCCTTAGAGCCTTCTTCAGAGGTCAAACACAATAAGAAACAAATTGGCTTATACCATAATACCTAATAACAATACAATTATAAAGCATGAATACAAAATGGACCTTTCACCTGATATGGTCTAAATTAACAGATAGACTGGGGTGTAGTATGATTTTATGACAGTTCAACATCTATTCTGTGATTCATTTGTTATATTGTCTTATAGTTGTAAATGTTATGCTGTATGGCAATTTCAAGGCATTACACAAGGATTGCATCGTCTAACACCTGGTATAAAGCTCCATGACTTTTGTCTATCAACACTGCTCTTTGCTGAAGGGATAATCTTACTGAGTATGCTTTGGCTTGAATTGAACAGCTATTGAAAGGCACCTTCTGGACCAGAATTAACAAAATTAGTTTTATTTATTAATTACATTTGAATTAAGTTTCAGTATTTTAGATTGCATTGGTTATTTCTTTTGCTTCTAGATTATTATCAGTGAAATATCATTTGACATATGATTGGATCTTCATTCTATGCCTAGGAATTTCACTCTGGAAGTAAGTCAATGTGTTTTTAAAACTATAATATAGGTATTGTTTGTTTAGCCATTTTATTATAATTTCACATTTTTTTTATTTTTTACAGCAATTCCTTTCTGGTCCATTTTGTATTCATGCTGTATAATTGTATTGTATTATGTATTATGGTATAAGCCAATTTGTTCCTCATTGTGTTTGACCTGTGAAGAAGGCCCTAAGGCTGAAATGCATCAGGTCAAGTCTATTGGCCCTTGTGTATATATGGTTTTGGAATTTTTACATGAGGTGTGATTTGGCCCCTATATGTTTTTAAATTCTTTACAAATAAATACATGAATTTTCACATATTATTTATAAATTAAGTTTTAATTGTTGGCTCTCTACTCAGTTTGATTTACCTTTTTAGGTTCTTGATCCTAGTTTTCAGAGTTAAGTTTGTTTCCCTTTTTTGTTCATAGTAAAATCTATCTTTAGCTATGGGCTATCTAGGTAAGTCACTATTCTCTCCACCTCAGCTCTCTGTAATGCAGTTGCCACTTTTTCATGGGCATCCTGATTAGCAGGGAATCTTTATGTCCACACTATGGGCTCAGTGGTAGAGAATCTACTTTATATGAAGAAGAGAAGAAGAGATTGGATTTATACCGCACCCTTCACTACCCGAAGGAGTCTCAGTGTGGCTTACAATCCCCTTCCCTTCCCCTCCCCTCCCCACAACAAACACCCTGTGAGGTAGGTGAGGCTAAGAGAACTCTCTTGAGAACTGTTCTTGAGATAACAACTCTGAAAGAATTTATGACTGACCCAAGGTCACACCAGTTGCTGCACACTCTTAACCACTACACCAATCTGAGAGAAGAGACCAGGTTCAATCCAGTTTTTAAAAGGCTCAGGTAGCAGGTGCTGTGAAAGACGTCTACCTGAGACCCTGGAGAACCACTGCCAGGCATTGTAGGCAGTATTGACCTTGACAGACCAAGGATCTGACTCATTAGGAGGCAACTTCATGTATTCATTTACTAGTTTTGGCAGATCAAACTGCTGTAAAAGTTACAGAAGCAGGACAGGCAGGGTTTTTATCTTGGCAGTCCTGTAATAGAGGAATAATAATACTGGCCCACAATACAGGATTGTTTTAAGGAGTGCTGAGGTTAATTAAGTAGTTAATTAATAATTGTATGGCATTATGTGTAGAATAGTCAGGAGATCCTAAGATTATCTGGCAGCAAGAAGTTCTAGCTCTTTTAGTGTTATGCACCACTAGGTGGCCAGCTAGACTTGTTTTTAAGGCAAGAGACGCTTCAGAGATAGTTTTGCCTTTGCTTGCCTGTCCGTCATGACCTTGGTAATCCTTGGAGGTCACCTTTTCAAATACTAGCCAAGGCCAATCCTGATTAGGTTCCAAGATCTGACAGGATCGGGCTAGCCTGGGCTAGCCAGGTCAGGGCAGTAATGAGGTAATGAATTTCAAAAACAGCCATAATAATGAAATTTTGAGCAACCTTTCTAGAATTCAGGTAGATTGTTCAGTACTGCCTCCCTCAAAAAGCTAAAAGCGGGGAAGGGAGCGAGCAGTATAATATGGCATGATGGAGAAGTCCCTGGTCTGTAGTTCTTATGTGGAAATACAGGATATGGGACAGCCTTAATTGGGATGGGTGCAAAACATGTTTCAAGATGTCCCAAAGCCTACTGGGACAAAGAAGCAAGATGAAACACAAAGAGCAATTCCCTTTTGAGAAAATAAAAGCCGGCGATTACTCAAATGCCTCCCAGAAGTAATTGGAATGCATGGGTCCCATGAGAGTAAAAGAAAAACATCACAGTCCTTATATGGCTACAGCATTTGACTAGTTCTCCTGCTTACTTGATTTTAACTAGTGTTTCAATGTATTTTATTATTTACCTTGTACGTCACCTTGAGTTCCTGTAAGGTGGAAAAGCAGGTAATAAGTGTTTAAAATCATTAATAATAAATACGAACAGCAATGAATGTGTCTCATTTTGAACACTGGAAGTGTGCTATATAAATGTGAAGCGTTATTCATTATTATTGGTCTCTGAATGGGTTTTGATTAGTCATTCTAGCTGTTGCATAGCTTCTGTTCTCTCCCCTTTGTATCTGGAAGACGTAGGCTGTTTCCACACATCACTGGGCAGTGTGCTCTTGTATCAGGAAACTCATTTGCCACTGGATTTTCTTGTGTGGACCAGCCCATCCATTTGTGGATACTGCTTTAGTGCAACAATAGCACAAGATCCAGTGATGTGAGTTCAGCTCGACTGTATCTTCAAGCAACAGACACAACACTTGCAGGAATGGTACATGTTTCCTCCCAGTCACAGAATTTCAGCTATTACTCGTTTTATTTCTTGGCAGATCAATTAGCTCTGTAGCCTTTGATGGTAAGGGACAGTAGTAGGGCTGATCTTCCACACTTCTAGAACAGCTGCTCTGCTTCATAAGGGCCGTTGACTTTGGGCTCGCTGCCAGATCAACCCAGAATATTGCTAATAACTATGACCTTGACCATGCTTTACAAACCGCTGGAAGCCGCAGGGTACTGGGCAGCTGTGTGGCTAATCAGCCTGGTATGTGAATACCTTGTGATGGGATGCATAATTTAGAAGGCTGCAGAAAGAAGGACTTGCAGAATGTAAGGATTAAGACAGACAGTGGTAGGACGAGGAGACAATAGCGGCAATGTAGAAAGTGGATTGGACTTGGGTTGGAAAGTCATGAGTTCAAATCCCAGCTTTATCATGAAGCTTACTATGTGGTCCTGGCCAAGCTACTCTTATGCTCTGCAGGATTCATGTGAATAAAACTGGGTAGCTTTGGTATGATCCTGCTCTTCCCTAAAGCTCCTGTCACAAGATACTTACATACCATCTGATTTGCCACACAGTTGCTCTGAATACAATAGTCTGACTCTCCAGCGTTTTCTAGTGAGTGGGCCCAGTTACTAGCGATGGGCTCCAATGATTAAACAGGGGCCATTCTAAGCCCCTGCTTTCAGTTCAAGTGGAAAGAAAATGTCTGTATCGTTTGTAATCAGGAAACACAAATGTTCTAGCTTCTACAACAATAGATCAATCATTCAAGAGATCTTAGAATGTAACTCTGGATTTATTTCCATTTTGTGTTTACTGTAGCAGCATGGCTTTATCACTCCATAAATGAGAGGGTGCGTTTCCCCCATACTTAACGATTAATATTATTTGTACATTTAGTACATCTTTATGCCAACCATCCTCCAAGGAGCTCAGGACAGCATACATTGTCCTCCCATCATTCATTTTATCCTCATAACAACTCTTTCAGGTAGGCCAGGCTGAGAGAGCTTCGTGGAAGAGTAGTGATTGGAACCCAGGTCTTTGAAGTCCCAATCTAACACTCAAAAATTCACCTCACTGGATTCTCCATATATGTGTGTCACCTTGTATTGAAGCCACCTCGTATTGAAGCCACCTTGTAAAGAATTGAACCATTGGGTCATCTTGTGTACAATGAGTAGCAGCTCTCATGCAGAGAAAGATTTTTTTCTCAAATCTTCTACCTGAGTTTTTTCGCTGGTGAATGAACCTGGCTGAGGCCTTCTGGGCACAAAGCAGATGCTCCTCTACTCAGCGGTGGCCCCTCCCCTAGGAGAGCAATCCACCAGTGGAGCTATTTGCCAGGAGAGGTTGTGGAATCACCTGTTTTCAAGAAAACTGTAGGCTGATCTCTCAGTAGTCTTGTTTTGGTATATTGCCTTAAGTTAGGAAGCTGGGATAAATGGTCTTTTACCCCTGTGGTTTGAGAAGTGTGACACAGGGAACACAGAGTGCCTGAGCCCTGCGGCAGTGGCAGAGACATAATGTGAACTCACATTCTGATAATCTATTCTTACTTCTATTATTTCCATAAATATGCCCTGAACCTGTGCTTAACAAATTCAGTGCAAGTCATTGGAAGAGTCATGTTGGGTTTATTTGCATGTTTGTGTGTGGAAAGCTGGGTTAACATTAATCACAGCGAAAAAGGCTGTAGGAAAACAGTTGAGAACAGTTGAGATGCAGAGAGCTTGACTTAGCCCTTGAAAAAGGACTGGTGCAGTTAAGTGTTGCAGCCAGTATGAGAACCAGAAGAACCCAGCAGACAGCCCTGTGGGGATGGGGATGGTAAAGAAAATTACCATGGCTAATTAAGCTGATGATCCATGCAAAGGTTCCCTTCCCCTCTTCTCTCCAGGCCATGAGTTCCTCGTGATTCAAACAGCTCTTGCTTTTTCAGACGGTCTGAATGAATTTCTCCTTTCATTGCAGGCCTTTGCACTGAAGCCAAGTGAAGAACCTTATGATTGCACTATATGTAACTCAACTCAGATAAGACTTCGCTAGGAAACAAGCAGTTCCTGCCTTTCAGAAGAATTCATCCATCAAGTTGTCCAAGTCTCTGCTCCCCATCAGCAACTTCCAGCTCCACACCCTGAAGCAGGCACCTAGAAACTCATCTCCATCTTTCTTCTTCACAAAGCCCATCTTGGAAATCACCTTCCAGCCATGTTCCAGCGCTTCACCAGCCTCTTCTTCAGTGACACCAGAACACCTGAGGGCCTTGAAGAACCCAAGCCCTTTGTCTCTGAAGAGGAAGAAGATGATGGGTGGCTCATAATTGACCTACCAGGTGAGATATGTGAGAGGAAATTTATTAGATTGTACTCAGAGCCATGGTTCTCAACACAGAGAACTGAGGGATCATAGATGGCAACCTGAGGCCTAGCAACTCAGGCTTTTACCATGAGAAATGCTTGTTTCTGAAAGAAAGGAGGAGATGTCATTGTTTCTGAAGGATGGGAAGTTTCAGTGTGCTTCTATTTGGTGACTGCAGACTTCTCTGGAGTGGAACCTGTATAGCATTGGCTGTACAGCAGTGGTCATCAGTGAGGTAAGGCAGTGGGCACAAAACTGTAGGAAGCTGCTTTTACTACTGACTGTGAGGAGCCCAGTCAGGAACTCACTGACAGGAGATGTGAAGTGGTGGCCATGGAGGCAGGCGGGCAGCTGGAGTCAGCCCTTTGCAGATTGGTCGCGCCTGCTATGATTCCCTCTGTGTTTTAGACTGTTTCTGAATATCAACATTAAGTCTCTTCCATACTATACCTTCTCACCTACCATATATTTTTAGCTGGAATGACAAATAGTATTATCAAGGTGGCATGCCGTCTTCTGACTCCTCCCTGCTTAGAAGCCTTCAGAGAGCAGAAAAATCTCTTCAGCAAATGATATAGTGTGATACAGTGATTTTAGTAGGGTTGCCAGGGCCTCCCTAGCCACAGGCAGGGGATGGGGAGGTAGGATTGCCAAATCCAAGTTAGGAAACTCCTGGAGATTTGAGGATGGAGCCTGGGAAGGAAAGAGACCTCAGTGGGATACAAAGCCACAGACTCCACCCTTCAAAGCATCCATTTTTTCTCCAGAAGATCAGATCTCTGTAGTCTGAAGATGAGCTGTCATTCTAGGGGATCCCCAGGTCCCACCTGAAGGCTAGTGTCCCTAGATTATGGTGTCAAACTAGGATCTGGGAGACCCAGGTTTGAACCTGGCACTGTGTCCATGGAAGCTTGCTGGTTGACCTTGGCCAGTCACTCTCCCTCAGCCTAACCTGCTTCATAGGGCTGTTGTTGCAAGGATAAAACGGAGGAGGGGAGAAAGATGTGTGAACCTCTTTTGGTCCCTATTGGGATATAAATATTGAAATAACAAACAAAAAGACATTGGGGCCTCTAGCTTCATCATGCAGATCTAAAGAATGTAATGAACTTAGACTTACCACTGTCTCTTCATCAAGGCGGAATCCAGCCTTCTCTCATTACTGATACTGAACTGATACTGATAGTGAACTGGTCTGATCCAGATTCATTCAGCTGTCTGCACTCACTACTTGCAGCCCAGCTGTCATATGTCAAGCTGACCCTTCGTGTTTCAGAGGCTATAGCTTGCTTGCTCTTGCCAAAAGCATAGTCTTGTTTGCAAGATTCCCCTCTCAGGCTGGAGTGGGTTGCATTGAGTACTTTTAGTTCCTACAGCTCAGAATGATGTCTGGGTCTTCGGCCTGCACTGATTTTTCCATCTGTCTGCAGATAGCTTATGATGATATGAAGAGGGACTTCAGAGTTCACTGGTCCCTTCATCTGTTTACAGATAGATCAGGCTGGTGCTAAAGCCCAATGTCCTAGTGTTTACAGTACTACCGCCCCTCCATCTAAGATGTGCCGTTGGCATGGAATTATCTCCTACGACATTGTCCTCGCTTTCTCAGGTGGCTTCTCCCAAACTTCTGGTATGTTGGTAGAACACCAGACTGGGAGCAGAGAAAAATCACATGAAAACGAGCCAACTTTTATAGTGTTTCCCAATATTCAGACCAGACATTAGAAGGATATTCAGATATTGGAGGCAGGCTGCAGTGTGAGCTGCTGGTGTTGGGTGGGGCCTTCTCAGTTTGGTGTACTTGTTAAATGAGCGGACTCTAATCTGGGAGAACCGGGTTTGGTTCCCCACTCCTCCACTCACAGCTGCTGGATGACCTTGGGTAGCGGGGAGCCTTGGCAAGCCACAGTTCTGTCAGAGGTGTTCTTGAAAAGAGCAGTTTCTGTCAGAGGCAATGTTCCCTCTAAGCTGTGGAGTCTTGTGAGCCAAAATTCTACTTTGTGAGCTGCTGGCATTAAATTTGTGAGCGAGCGGTTTGGCTACTGCATAAATTAGTTTGTTCTGGAGCCATCCTTTCTGAGCAAAGACAAAAATGTGTGAACTGAAGGCTAAAAAACTGTGAGCTAGCTCACACTAACTCAGCTTAGAGGGAAAACTGCTCACAGGGTGTCTGTTGTGGGGAGGGGAAAGGAGGTTGTAAGCTGCTCTGAGACTCTGAGTGAAGGGCGGGGTATAAATCCAATCTCCTCCTCCTCCTGGTTCCTACAGGATTGGGCTGAAAGGAGCTGCTGAATCTTCAAGAGGAACAGAAAAGCTGTTTCATGCAAGTTGAGGCTTAACTGAAATTGTACAGATTCAACATGTATGTGTGCACGTGTACGCATGTGTGCCCAGACACAGGTTGTTTAGGCAAAGTGATGGAACTTCCATTGCCGCTATGAATGCAGAGGTATTTACAGTGGTGAGAGGGTCCACTTGGCACTTTGCCTTGTACTTTCCTTGACTCCCCACCACCACGGTAATTGCTTTATCAGTAAACGTGATAATGCTCTAGCAGTATAAAAATTACTGACTTTTTAAATAAAGAAATATCCCAAAACAGCCCTCCAGTTATGGTTGTCACCTCTGGGTTGAGAAATTCCTGGAGATTTGGGGACAGAGCCCGGGAAGGGTGGCATCTGGGTAGAGGAGGAGCTCAACAGGGATGTGATGTCATCAAGTCCACCGTCTGAAATTGCTGTTTTTTCCAGGGAAATTGATCTTTTTAGTCTGGAGATGAGCTGTAATTCTGGAAGAACTCCAGGCCCCACCTGAATGTTGGCAACCCCTGCCTCCAGTGGTTTGTAGGTGAAATGGCAGCTATGAAGGGCACCAGTGCAGGTAGAAACTGCAAAATGAGTTGAGGGCAGGGGTCATTTAGTAGAAAAAGAGGTGCAGGAGCTCATTAGCATAACTTATTTGCATATGCCACACCCCCTGACATCACCGGATGTGAGTCAGAAGGCAGCACCCACTGCTTAGGCTCCACTGGACTGTTCTGGATTGCTGGCTATTGGGGGGGGGACATGCAGATCTGCCCTCACAGAGAAGGGAAAGCCTGTACCCTGAATAAAACTTGGTCTTAAAGGTACCACTGGACTGTTTTGGATTGCTAGCTATGGGGGGAGGGGGTGTAGATCTGCCCTCACAGAGGAGGGAGAGCTTGTACCTGAAGGCGGGCCGGGGGTGGTGGACTCTGCAACTTACCTGGCTGCTGCTTTCTCATCTTGGCCCGACTGAGGGCTGCTGGGAGCAGGGGGTGGAGCTTGTTGCATATGCCCACCCCCTGGGCTCCTTACTGCTGGAGCTCCGCTCCTGTGCACTCCCACAGGAAATGACCCCTGGTTGAGGATGACATCTATCTGACCATTGCCAGAGATCATACCAAAGATTAATCTAGACTGGACTAACTGAACCTTCAGTATGGCCCCAAAAGGTTATTCTTGTATATGTTTAATTCAGTTGTACCTCCTGATGTAAAAGATGTCTCTGTGCTATCTGAAAAATCTCAGCTACATGCAGTTTGGGGCTGCTAGGCCTCCCAGTATGGTGGGAGCCCTCCAACTGGCAGCCATAGTTGCCTGCCGCTGGGAGATTTTGAAAAAAATATTTTATTTTATTTTACAAAGCAAAGTAATAGTATAGAGGGGATACAAAAAGGAAAAGAGGGATTATATAACATAATTGTATATATCAAGGATAATTATATATTACAAAGTATATAAAACAGAAAATATCTTTCCCCAACATCCCCTTTATTATAATTTAAGACATTATCTATTAAATACAACGGTCCTTACTTTTCTTGGTGTACACTACATTCAACATTTTTAAATTTCAGATTTCATAACTGATCTATTTTGCAACTACATTATTAGTTTCATCATTAATGTATATTTAATATTATATATTTTGCCACTTCTACATACTTGCTATAACTTTTAACAGATAGGTACTATATGAAAGTCCAAAAGAAAGTCTATTATGTATCTCATAATAAAATAAAAGATGTTTCTGCTCAAAATCCACTTCCTTATACATTTATATTCAAGATGTTACACAAAATTTGTTTTCATTCTGCTTCTGCATTGCAATACATTTATATACATTTTTTTAACTGTTTCTGACTCCAAATTCGTCTCCTGCTTGCATAATACACACTCCATCTCTCCTCAAATTTCGTAATTGATCTGTTTCTCACATAGGTTGTTAATTTTGCCATTACTGCATACTTAGCAAGTTTATTTTCCTATTCTTCTAAGTATGGACAGACCTCTAATTTCCATTTTGCTGCATAGATAATTCTACCCTCTGTCAACATGTATTTGAATATCTCTTCCAAAAATTTTGGTAATTTATTAGACGGTATACCTAATAGCATATTCTTAAGCTTCCACAGGGAATTTAAATTTTAATATGTTCTGCATTTTTCCATGTATTTCCATCAATATCTTTTTGCTTTTTTACAAGTGCACCACATACAGTAAAACGTTCTATTTCAATATTCTAGGGGTTATATATCATCCCCCCCAAATTTTTTTTTACCGGTTTTCACTTAATGCCTGGGTGGCTTTCTTTTTCTTTTTTCTTAATTTCTTTTCCTCATAACCATTCCTACTGATGCATAGGTATCTGCTCTCTAAAATTCTGCATCCATTTAATAATACATTTTTTCACTTGTTCTTCTGTTTCTAACTGAAGTAATAACTTATATATCCATTGTAGTAAATTGTCTTCTTGTTTTATAATCAGCTGTTTGAACTCAGTCACTTCTCTTAGATCTCCACCTTCCATGTTGATAATCTTCTTTAGTCCTGAAGCTGATTGATAATATAGCAACCATTGAATGCTGAGTCCTTCGTCTCTAATATCTTGCCAGGACTTGATTTCCCCCTGAATAATTACCATATTGCTGTATGTTAAAAAAACCATTTT